AAAAATCAGCTCAGAACAAAAGAGATAGCCACAGATTGACAGACTTGTGATAATCTTCGCGGTCCTGGATGTGATACCGGCGCATGACTTTTATTTCACGAAGATTGGCATCTTGTTTCCACTGGAATGCGGTGTGAACAGATTGATTGCTGGACGGAAGGCAGGGCTCTTACATTGAGAAAGTCTACTTTTTTCAAGAGTTTTGATTCATGGTACTTGAGCTTTCTGACCATTTTTTGAGTGGTGAGAGCAAGTGTTGAGAGGAAGTGGGAGCACGTGGGAGATCGAGCTTGGCTGTTTTAGCGCCCCCACGCCGCATTGGACGACAACAAGCCTTGCTCATCGCCGCGCTGTGTCTGCTGGGCTGCTGCTTGCTCCTGACCACCATCATCTTGGGCAGTCTCGGCTTTCCTCGCTTTTTCGCCGTGTCTGGATCCTTGTGAATGCATGTCAGCGTCTGGTTCCTACCTGCACACCGAGGCCCCCGACTTCTCTGCTTCCGATTTGGACCCTTTCATGAACCCAATGCTGCGCCAGCCGGCCCCCCCAAGCATGATTGGCTTGAATAATCCCGCTTTTATGCAACCTCAGTCGGGTGGGCCCCAGCATATGGGCAATCCAAACGGCCCAAATCCACCCATGGGCATGCTTCAAGGCGGGCCGGATATGCGTTTTCCACCCGGACACAACCCATCCATGGTTCCTCGATCGACGATGGGTATGCGCCCCGGTGTCAGACCACCCATGAACCCCGCGATGCAGTCGATGGGAGGCCACCCCGGCATGGCGGGCGGCGGCATGGGGTTTCCTCCAAACATGATGCCTGCGCCGGGGGTGATGGGCCCCCGGCGTGTAGCGTCCAACCCCGCCTCGCTCGGCGCCGGGATGAACGGCCAGTCGATGATGATCCAGCAGCAGATGCAGCAACACCAAATGCAGCAGCAGCAGCTCCGGATGGCCCAGCAGCAGCATGCGCAACAACAACAACAGCGGCAGCAGCAAATGGAAATGGCCATGATGAGTCGCGGTCAGCCAGGAAATCCCCAGAACTCTGGCGTCGCCCGCACAGGCTCGGCGGGCCCACATCTTATGAATAGTCTGTCGCAGCCGGCGTCGCTCAACCAACCTCCACATCCTGGCGGGATGCCGCACAATTCGTTTCAAAATCCCATCGCCCCGCCTCCGCAATCCGGCTCCCCCCGCGCTCGCACTCCCGTCATGAACATGAATCCAGGGCCTTCTCAACCTCCTCTCAATCGCCCCCACATGTCGTCGGACGAGATGTTCACAAATTTCTCACAAAACCAATACCCGCCGCGCGCAATGGCGGCTAATGGACCATTTGCTTTCGGCACCTCCCCCACGCCTCCCCTCAACCTCTCCGACTCGTTCCCCCCCTCAGTAGGTACCCCCGGGCGCGCCGGAGGATTCCCACCTACGCCTGCGCAGCAGCTGTCCATGCAGCAGCACGGGGCCGCCCCCGACAATGGGGGCTACCCTTTCACCATGGCACCACCCCGTCCCCTTTCCAACAACCAACACCCCGGTATGCCGCAGCAGCATTCTCCCCCGCAACAACCTCCGCAACACCACTCTCCGCACCACTCCGACGCCATGAACCCGCACCCGCCACGACCACAGTCGCAGCCCCAGCCACACCCTCCTCCTGGCCGCCCACTCTCTGGTGCCGGTCCCTCGCACACGCCGAGACCCTCTCAGCAGCCGGGGCTGCCCAATAACCCCGGACTTCTTCCGCCCGGTCGCCTGCCACCACAGCAGCAGCAGCAGCCCCCGCAGAATATCCGCCCGCAGAGCTCCGGCTCCTCCTCGCACCAACAGCCGATCGCGCCACGACCGCCTCCACAGGTGCAACAAACAGCACAGCCAGGGAGCTCCGATGGCACGCTCCTATCCGCGTCGGCCTCGCCACCCGATGCCGGCGCCATGCTGCCGACGTTGCCGACGTCGATCCCCCGCCCCCCCGCGAGCAACGCGCATTCGATCGGGTACGGTCAGGGCCTGATTCGGGTGATGCAGTTCAGTGGGCTACTCAACTCTGATGCGGCACAAGGCCAGGTGAGTCCTGCGTCGTCGACCCGCTTTGTTTTACTGAGGTCTCTCCAGAGCCAAAAATTGCGTCTATCGTATTGGGACTCACTCATACGAGAGTACTTCACGCCCAAGGCGATCATGAAGCTGACGTTGTGGCGAGATAGCATGAAAAACGAGGCGAAGCCATTTGGTGCGTCGCTGTCGTCTCTAACGACCCGAGCTAAAACCCCGCTAGAAATCGGCGTCCGCATCCTCCCGCGGTTTTTTCTCGTGACAACGCAGTCGGGTGTCAAATCCATGTCTCTGACGCTGGACGGCGCGCGCGAGCGGCTATACGCGCCAGGGCACGCGATCGTCGAGTGCGTCACCGCTGTGTGGACGTACCGGTACAATAACGGCCACATCGTCACGCTACGCGGCCCCCTCACCGCGCACCTTGTCATCTGCTCTCCCGCACCGCACTCGCAGGCGCAGACCAACGGCGCGCCGCCGTATGTGCTGAAGTTTGACGACTTTGAGTTTGACGCGCACTCGCACGACAAATACATTGCGCTCGAGTCGATCTCGGGCCCGCGTAAGGCGGAGGAGCTTGTCCCGGCGGCGAACGGCGTAGGCGATGAGGATAAGAAGTGGGACGAGCCGAGGCTACTGATTGAGAACGGGTCGATTCCCGGCGAGCCCGTCAATGCGTTTGGCATCCCACAGGCGACGATGCGGTGTTTGGAGGTGCGTATCTCGTGAGTTTCTTGTGCGCGTACTAATTGTGTGCAGCTGGCGGAGAGTGTCGGGCAGATGGCAGAATTAATATCGTTCGCGAAGGAACATGACGTCGGGCCACTTTCCGCGCTGAAATCGTTTGCCGACAAAATCCGGGAGGAGCAGCCACAGCTCGCCATGATGAACGGGTTCGGGACGAATCCCTTTTTCCAGAGCCCGTCGGGGCAAGGCAACACACTATACTCTAGCGCACCGCCGTCTGTGACGAACCCCGCGTCTGCTCAAGCCTCGTCCTCGATGAGCTCGCCCCAAAACGCGCCGCCATCTGCGCACAACTCGCCACAGAAGCAGCATAAGACGATCCCCTCGAAAGGCTCTGTCGCGTCTGCGTCGACGCCGACGCCGAGCACAAGCAATAACACCCCTGCGCTTGCGAATGCGACGCTGAAGCGCAAGGGCGGGCCCACCGAGCCTGGCCCCAACTCCACCTCTGAGCCGCCCCCGAAGCGCGCCACACGCCGGCGACGGACGGGCGGTGGTTGATAATGTGCGGCCGTGCGCCGGTCTGTCTCGGACTACCTTTGCTATGTTGTGCTGTTGCATTGCTGCCTAATTTTCTTGCTTGCCTCTCCGGTGTGCTACTGAATTACTACTACTACTCTAGATTGTATCTTACGCTATCCTATCTACATGGATCTCTCTGTGTTTATCAATGGCCTATTTATCTACCCTCTTGTACTTGTATCCCACTTGAACTTTTTTTCGAGCGAATCATGTTTAAACCTGTCTCCCTGCCAGCTTCAGTCTACACATCGATTTCTCGATAACGCTTCCCCAGCATCTCGTTACATTCGCAGCGTCATGTCAACCGATGTTCCCTTGCGTCTGTATCCATCGAATGGACGGTGTTTACGAAGGAATGTCTTTCAATCTTGACAAGTACCATTGGCATATGTTTGCTAAATAAAACGCTTTGATCTTGGAAGCTGCTTCAGCTGCAGCATTTATAGAAACATGCTCTACGATCCGGATGTCTTTCCGAACCCCATGCAATTCAGCGGCGGAATCTTGATTGAAATGGAGAAATTTATAGATCTGGCCTTCAGTTTCCGCCGATGCGGAGATTGGAGCCGCACAATTTATGTCACCCTCCCTCGTCGTCTTGAGTGATAAATCCGCGCACCCGAGGGAGCATTCTGAAGGCGGGGAATGCTATTCGCCGGTCTTCCTAGGCGGGCAAGAAGAGGCACCGTTGCATTAGGGACGAATTCACGCACATTCGGTTCTATCCATGCAGTTTTCGTATCGATTCTGACAAAACATTAGCTCCTTACTTGTTGTGCTGCTCAACTCGAGTAAGTTGTTGCGTGCGACCCCGCGAATTAAAAATCTAAGAAGGACGGCGGAAAGGGAGTGACAATAGAGCTGAGCAGAATCGCGCCATCTGAAACGTGCCATCATCCATTAATTCCAAGCTCTGAGGCAAGCAGCCAAAGAAGAAACCCGGTTTTGAAACTGAGGAACGTTGATCCCGTGTCTTATCCGAACCTTCTTCATGACCACTTGCAAGTACTCCCACTCGATATCCTACCGGTGGAGATATGCGCAGGTAATACGAAGAAGAAGTGGCCTAGGCGAAGCAGATGTTTATGAGGAGCGGTGGTCGAACCGAGGGCCAAAGATGCAGGAAGGGCCACCGGAGATCGCGCTTGCTGACCGCAGGCGTCTCGCGAAGGACTGATTTTTGGGAGCAACGGCGTCTCGTATAAACTTCTCCCATGCTCAATCCAATATGGACCAGGGGCTTGCGAAAAAACCCCGGAGGAGCTGAGAATGGGCTTCATGAATGAACAGCGAGTCGGGGCATCGAGACTTGAGAACAGATACGACACTCAGGAGCGTCAGTGCGACTGGAAGCTGACCCGGGAGCTTTCAGGATGTTCAAACCGAGGAGATGGAGTCGCGTGCCTACGGATTTGTCGAGGTCCGATACCGATACATCGTCTGAGCGGAATCACAAGTCTTCCTATGTGTCCTCTTCCTCGCATGCAGCGACGGTAATGGAGCTGATAAATGGCGTAGCGGAAGTGATAAAAAATGATGAGTTTCAATCTACGATCAATCCGAGCCCTTCCACGCTTGCTCGCCCACCCGGGGGTGTCTGGAGACGAAATGGGAACCTGTTTGGCGCAAAAGGATGGTAAAAACAACGAAGCAGGAGCAAAAGGAGATGACGACAGAGGGATTCGAACCCTCGCCTCGAAAGACCAGATTTGAGATTGGTATCAAACACTATTCGGAGACCGAAAGAGCATGCATTTCCTGATTCTGGCGCCTTAGACCACTCGGCCATGTCGCCGTTCGAGTCCATCCTGAGCGGAGAGAGCGGGAGATTCCAAGCAGAACGAGTCCAAGAAGTATGTGGACGTGATGAAAGAAAGCGGAGTTGTGGTTGAAACGGGTTGGTCGGTGTCTTCGATGACGTAGTTCAAAGTAAATTGTTTTTCAGGGAGACACTAGTCCTCATCATGAGCGGAGAGAGAGAGAGATTCGGAGTAGAACGAGTCCAAGAAGTATGGGGATGCGATGAAAGAAAGCGAAGTTGTGGTTGAAACGGTTTGTGTCGGTGTCTTCGATGAATTTCAAAGTACATTGCTTTCAACTCTGAGCAGGGAGACACTAGACGAGGCCAGAGAGCGTCGAGAGTGCAATCGACATGGTGGAGGAAAGAAGAGAGTGAAACACACAAGACCAACGCTGTCAATCACACAGCCACTGAACGGCGATCCTGTGATGCCAACAATTGGACGATCGGCGGATAAATGATTTCAAGTTGAGGCACAACCAGCTCTACACTGTACACAGAGTAGTCGACGCCCAAACAGGGCCTGTTGTCTAGCGACCCAACAGATTCCAGCTGAGGCGCAATCAGCAAGCTTGAACTGAGTGTAGAGCCGCTCTAGGCGTTCACAGAACGCAGCGTCTCAATGAAAAGCCATTAATATTTAGCTACAGTATGATGGCAAGGCTCTGCAATTGCTGCAGTAATTCTCCGCCTCGGTTTCTCCATAGTTTCGTACCAGCGACGTGTCTCTTTTTCTCCGGTTTCAGTGAATAGAAAAATGAGATTGTTCCGAGGTCTAAACTGCCAGCGAGCTCATTATTTCTATCCTTATGCAATCCGATCTCATCTTCTTTCTTGGTCCGTCAATGCCGCGACCGCAGCAAAGTCTACTAGAGCGTATTTGCACCCCCCAAAATCGACGGCCAAATTTCTGGCATCAGCCATCATTTTTAGGATAGAGAAACGATTGATGTGCCGTAACCGACCTTCCCAACAGCCAAAACCTATTTTCGCCGTATAATTTCTCTCCTGAAAGTGGCCAGTGCCTTCGAGACTACTGTGGTGTGTCCACACAAAAAACCCGGGTTATATAGCATTTTTTTACGCGTTTTGGCAGACTTTACAAGCCGAAGGGATCCTATTTTGGTGTCATCAAATTTCTGACAGGCCCCATCAAATTTCGCCCTAAAACTGCGTCAAGGGAGCTGCAAATACGCTCTACTAGAGCGTATTTGCACCCCCCAAAATCGACGGCCAAATTTCTGGCATCAGCCATCATTTTTAGGATAGAGAAATGATGGATGTGTCGTAACCGTCCTTCCGCCGACAAAACCAATTTTCGCCGTATACTTTCTCTCCTGAAAGTGGCCAGTACCTTCGAGACCTTTGTGGCGCATCACACAAAAAAAACCGGGTTATCCAGCATTTTTTGCGCCTTTTTGCCAGACTTTACAAGTCGAAGGTATCCTATTTTGGTGTCATCAAATTTCTGACAGGCCTCATCAAATTTCGCCCTAAAACTGCGTCGAGGGTGTTGCAAATACGCTCTACTAGAACGCACCCAAAATCGACGGCCAAATTTCTGGCATCGACCATCATTTTTAGGTCAGAGAAATGATGGATGTGCCGTAACCGTCCTTCCCAGCAGCCAAAACCAATTTTCGCCGCATAATTTCTCTCCTGAAAGTGGCCAGTGCCTTCGAGACTATTGTGGTGTGTCCACACAAAAAAAATCGGGTTATCTAGCATTTTTTCACGCCGTTTGCCAAACTTTGCAAGTCGAAGGTATCCTATTTCGGTGTCATCAAATTTCTGACAGGCCCCATCAAATTTCGCCCTAAAACTGCGTCGAGGGTGTTGCAAATACGCTCTACTGCGAGGAGAATAGGGCAGTTTGGAGACCGTCTTGTAGAAATTGATGTGAGAGGGAGTTCCTGGATCCGAAGGTATCCAGGTCTCATTTCAGTAATTGTCCGTCCGACTCGATCATGCACTTTTTACCCACGCTCTGTTTGGCTCTCAACACGTCACTTCACTATTCTCTCTCCTCTTCAGCTCCGTGCTCAATCCGTGTAACTGTAAGGAGGTTGATAACCATGTCATGCTGAAAGTTAACGACTAAAAAGTCTTGTTAAAGGTGGGCCCGGAGGATCCAGGTCTGCCCGGAGGGCGTTACTATCTGGACTCTGTACGGTAAGTTCCGAAAGAGACTCGGTCCTTTCGGCGTGAAAGCTGGCTCCTTGAATCTGTAATTGGCTTAGAACAAGTTGTCACCTGGAAATTATTGTCGTTCCTGGCGCGCGAGAAATAAAACATAGACCACTGTCGATTCAGAGAGGAATGGTAAGCAGTTGAAAGCTCGTTGATCCGATCTTCGGCTGAAAGGAATATACTACTGTACTTGAGATGGGGCAAGTCGACGAATTCAGTCGTGATTATCGTGTCCCAAGTTGAGGATGATACGACAGTGAGTGTCTCCGAATTTGCATTTACAATACAAGTCAAGAGGCGCTCGATCTCTGGATCAGTCAAAAAAACCCACGACCCCCCCCCCCCCCCAGAAAAGGCAATGATTATCAGCGGAACGTTCGGCCAGATCAATCCATCAAGTTCCATTGCGCCCACTCTCGACCTGCTCTACAACGCCACTCGGAGCCCTCTGGCCCCGGCCAGGGCTATCCAACCGCCTCCGGCACACAAAGACTCAAACTGCAAACAATATGGCATCCTAATCCTGTATATGCTGCACATACATCTCTGTCAGATAATGCAATTCCTCTGCCACACTACGGCTCTTATTTCTTGGTTGTACCTACATAGTAACAGTAATGAAGTTCACGACGAGAACGGGGACTGGCGACTTCTGTCCCCGATGCTCAGTACATAAAGCATGGAGTGGCCGAAGGCTGCCAGCGTTCCGCCGTGGGATCACTGATCTCGCTTAGCAACATCATTTTGAGAGATCCAGAGATCAATCACCTCTTGATACAAGTGGTCCGACGGGAGTCGAGATTTCCAAGGCCAGTCACGTGCGCGGCCGGTTTGTCACTCAACCCTGTCAGAATTTCTCTGCTCTTTCCTCCATGTCGCTATTCAAGAAAAAGGCGTCGTCAAGACCGTCGACGCCTGTCTCGTCCTACTTTGCCGGGCTCTCAAAGGTAGAAACTCGCAACCTCAATGGCGCCGGCCCAACCGCAACCCCCGCCCTGTCGCTCTCGTCCTCCGTCACCTCCTCTTCGGAGGACACTGTTCTGCATGAGGATGACTCGGAGGCAGACAACTCGGATGGATTGGCTCTCCCTTCTCGGGCCCCCAACTCTTCAGAAGTATTCTCTACGGTCCACACGGAGTTTGGTCACTGCTCGAACGACGGCTATCGGTATATCTCTCAGCACCTCGCTGGCACTGCTGTTCCCGGCCATGTCGATCGCGACCCACCATATTATATCTTACTTTCTACCTACATTAGGTGAAATTTGTCCGCCAATGCATGAACATATAGCTAATGTTTGTTGTCAGTTATCTTATCCTTATTTGCCTGGGTCACCTCCGCGACTTTGTCGGTAAATACCTTCGCCCAGCTGCCTATCGGCATCTCATGCCCAGCAATGTGAGCGAACTAGCACTGGTTCTATTCACGGTCTGAATCTATACAGGGTTATGCCCCTCTCAACTCCGACTTCGACTCGTTCTACACGCGCCGGCTGAAAACTCGGATGGATGAATGCTTTTCTCAGCCAGTGACCGGTGTTGCGGGTCGCACGATACAGCTCCTCGACCGTATTTCCCCAGACTACAACCACCACCAAATATTTACAGGCACCCGCACGCGCGCCCTTAATATCTCGTCATATAACTACCTTGGCTTTGCCCAGGCCCAAGGCGGATGCGCCGACGCGGTCGAGGCGTCGATCAGAGAGCATGGCGTCTCTTCTTGTGGTTCCCGTCTGGAAGGTGGTTCCAGTGATCTCCACGTCCTAGCCGAATCCCTGGTCGCCAGATTCGTGGGAATGGAAGACGCGCTTATTAGTTCCATGGTACTTTTTGACTGCGCCATCTGTCAGCTCATTTTAATTCTGTGTAGGGTTTCGCTACCAACTCAACCTTCATACCTGCATTGGTTGGCAAAGGCTGTCTGGTCATTTCCGACGAACTCAACCACGCATCTATCCGCTTTGGTGTGCGATTGAGTGGCGCCAATGTCCGGATGTTCAAGCACAATGATATGGGTGCGCTGGAGAACTTGTTGCGGGAAGTCATCAGTCAGGGACAGCCAAAAACGCACAGGTAGCTTTGTTTATAACTTGTGCCGTCCGATTCATACTAATTTTTTCTTAGGCCCTGGAAAAAGATTCTCCTCCTTGTAGAGGGTCTTTATTCGATGGAAGGGACCCTTCTTAATCTCCCAGGTCGGTATCCTCGCTCCAAAAAATGATACGCCCTAAGTCCTCTCACAGTTATCATCGAGCTCAAGAAAAAATACAAAGTGCGTCGTCAAGGACTGTGTGAGACTACATAATAACGTCCAAACTAGTTTTATCTCTTCGTAGACGAGGCCCATTCCATCGGCGCCTTGGGACCTCACGGCCGGGGTGTGGCTGACTACTTCAACATCCCACCACAATCAATAGACATCCTTATGGGCACATTCACAAAGTCGTTCGGGGCTGCAGGCGGTTATGTCGCGGGGAACAAGGCCCTGATCGACCGCCTGCGCATACGGGGCCACTCCGGTCCATATGCAGAGGCCATGACGCCGCCGGTTCTGACCCAGATCGTCGCAAGCATGGCCAGCATCATGGGCGTCTCGCCGCCCAATCTCAGTAGCTCGGGCAGCTCCTCCTCGACCCTACAACAACAACATCTTGAGGTAGAGCCGTATCACCACCCCTCCCGCGCCCCCGCGTCGTCCCTCCCGACGTGGATATCGCTCCCGGCCTCGCTGGCGGATGGCAGCGAAGGCCTCTCGCGGCTCCGCCGCCTCGCGTTCAACTCGCGGTACCTCCACTACGGCC